ATGAGTTTTACATTAACTTAAACACATGAGTTTTACATTAACTTCAACAAATGAGTTTTACATTAACTTCAAACATGTAAATTTGGTTCATGTAGTTTAGGAAAACTTCACACAGAGAAAATAAAAGAAGGGAATAAAGGGCTGTGTCCTGTTGTAGGCCAGAAAAACATGGTCGCAAGATTTCTTGTTCACCTATATCAGAAAGAGCATTGAAAACAGAATTCAACAAATTTAAATACTCTTATCTGAAGTTTAATAAAATCAGGGACGGCCGGGAAACCTGTCTTTACCTCGCTCACATCACTTCCCACGGAGACCTAGCTGTCCTTACCTCGCTCACATCGCTTCCCCCGGAAGCCTAGTCTACAGTCACACCGGAAGCCAGGTTGTCCCTCCCTGTTCCATGTGCAGGTCCCTCCATGGGCACATGGACTGGCAACACACGGGTTCCCCACTGCATCTGTACTTACAGTAAAATATGACTTTGACATCAAAATAAAGGTGCAATTTGTTAGATGCACGGCGAACATGTCAGTTTGATAAAAATCTGTTTTATTGGAAATATATAGTTAATAGAATATAAGTTGCTTCTTGGACAGTAGAAGTTACTTGGTTTTACAACTCATTGGGTGAATAGTTGTCATATTTTTCACTTTTGCTTCGATTTTGCGGACATCATGATGACATCATATGTTTGTTCATGACTTGATAGCAGCAGCTTAATGTAAACTTTCAAAAGTGCCTGTTTCACGTAGTAACTTTTTCAAAATCGTATCAATATATGAATTATTTTTTCTGAAATCAGACCAACTAATTGAATCTAGCCGCAAAATGAACACAAAATATGAGACCGTATGTGATGATTCTAACGTGTCATGTTCAGTTTTTGTGTGCGAAGGGCAGTAACTCTTATGATGCTTGAAGAAACTAGAAAAAATATACAACAGAAACTGGTAATATGTAGTATTTTTCTTTTGTAAAATGTATTTTTCTTCAAATATTGTATTTCCCCAACCGACTATTTTATATAGATGATATACTGATAAGAACTGCCAGAGTTGGGGAGCCCTTGGGACAGCCATCCAAACAATATGGTGTATACAACCAGGAGGGCTCTCATTCATTTTTCTCGCGTCAGTAACTGATAATTATATCTAAATTCTAATAAGTTAATTTGATTACATATTTTTATCAACATTCTACTGTGAAATTTGATTTTGAAATAAAACATTTGATAGAGCATACTATCACATTTCTTGTGGAGCGAAACACGAGGTCAGAAAAAAACATGGAAAACCAAAAAGAAGTAAAATTAACACAGAAATCGGCATGTCACTGTGTAGCTGATCACACTTTCACCTCCATGTAATCCTAATTCTCTTTCCACCTCCGACGTCATAGCCTTTGACAGTTTCTTTTCTTTGACTGAAATTATATAATGTTTAAAAAAAATACTTTAGATGTTTGAAAGTTTACCTGTTGTGATATATCGGGTTTTAGAAACAAATCTGAAGTCATTTCTCTCTCGTTATTGTGCTTCTGTATATCACATCTATTCAATGTGACTTAAGATTATTTATTTACATTAATGTTTTCAGTTACCTTTGTCATCATCATCTTTTTCCTTTTTGCCTTTTCTGTGTTTTTTCTGATGTCGTTTTTGTTTGGCTTCTTTCTTTCTTAAATTATCAGATACACTATCAATTTCTTCGTCATCCAAGTTTCTGGACGGAGACCGCTTTCTTCTGTCGTAATTGGCCAATTTTATGTTGTCTTCATAATACTTTTTATCATCATACCTATCAAAATTTCGAAGCGCTTTCGTCTTCGTTTGTGCAACATTATTTACCAGTCGAAACTGTACAATAAACAGTAAAATTACAATAGGAAACCATTTCAGCGATTCATCCATAGTCATGTTCGGCCATATTGTTTATGTCGTCAACGTGACGTGACGTCATTTTATTATGACGTAGTTGCTCTTCCGGGTTATCGTAAAGGTCATCATATAAATTCACTGGGCATTTCCGTTCTCCGAGTGGTTACAAATAAATTGTCGTTCACAAAAGCAAACTATAGGGAAATTGAAGTGGATACAATTGTACAAATGTATATATTTTAATTAACTGCTGTATGAGCACCTTTTATATATATTTTAAATCAAAGTCCTTTTTATAATCCACAAGATTTATGATAGGCCTTACTGTCCTT